AGGAATAGTGTGTGGAGTCAAACTGACCTGGGTTGGAGTTCAGCTCTACCACTCACTGGCAGCATGGCTTTGGGTAAATGCCCCTTCTCTGAGCCTCAGAATCTGCATGTGTTCAGTGGGGCTATTAATAGTTCTCAACTCACAGGCTTGTTTTAGAAATTAAATAAGGATTAAATTATATAAGTGCCTGTCGTACAGTAGATGCTCAGCAAATGTTCCTCCCCAAACACAGACACAAACAGCACTTAAAGCAACCTGGGTAACAAAGGGGTTTTCAGTCTGAGGAGAAAACAGGCAGCTAATGAGCTCTCTCTCCAGTTTCCCTTCTAAGAGAGGAACTCACTGGCCAGAGTCCAGGATGGTCACCGATGCAGAGGACAGGCAGCCAACTCCAAGCTTCCCACGTGGGATTTCCAAAAAACTGTGAGCACAGAGTTGCATAACCTGTCCCTGAGACACGGGTTTCTACTGAAGTGTCTTCATCAAATATTCCCAGAAAGGAAACATGGGAGCAGGGCAGTAGGGCAGCCTAGCCAGGGAGGAAGGGAGAGAGGGAGGGATCTAGAGAACACGAGAGTAGGGGTGACAGGAGGAAGAGAAGGTACCACATTTAATGTGATCCTACTATGGGCCAGCCACCAGGCTTGTTTTGTCTGATACATTGTTAGATCCTCGCCATAAATCTCAGATCAGGCATTTCTGTTCCCACATTCCAAAGGAAGAAATAATAACAATCATATTATCATTGCTGATGTTAACATATCGCCAACTACACATCAGGCGGTGGACTAGGCACACGTTTGACCCTCAGGACAGCCCATAACATGGGTATTATTCTGAACTCCACTTTATAGAAGAGGAAACCAACTGAGACTCAGAGACATGAAGTAACTTTCCCAAGGTCACCCAGCAGGACAGCAAGACAGCTGGAGAGCCAGGATTCGAATCTGAGCAGGGCTCTCAAGCCTATGGACCTATGGGAGAACATTTCCCAAGGGATTTATGGGGGTGGATTCAGAAGATGACCTTAGCAATTGTCCTTACATGCACGCAGTGCGGCCCCAGTGTGAGAGTGACGGAAGAGACCAAGTGACCAGAGGCACTCCCCTCCCCTCCACCCAGTGGACAGTTTGTCCCAGCTTGTGGCTGTTCGTCACTCTGCCTCTGACCTAAAGTTTAACATTTCATTCATAAGTTTGGAACCACAGACTTGGCAGCATAGGAAGAACCCTTGGAGACCGGCTATTCAAATCCAAACCCCTCATATTACAGATGGAAAAAAAACCCTGAAGCTGGAATGTGACTCGCCAAGGTCACAGAGCAGTCTTCTGTTGGATGAAGGAGCTGGTTTAGGGTCAACTACAGATCATCTTGTGCTGTAGTTACCAAATGTGGGTGCCCCTCTGGATCACTTGGGGAGCTCTTTAAATATGCAGATCTCCACAATTCTGCTTTGGGAGATTTGGACTTAGGTTTGCAAACAAGGACTGGAAATTTGAATATCCAATATGTTCCTCAGGTGATTCAGATGGCACAGCTCCACGACAACATCTGCAAGTTGGAGTCCCTCTTCTTTCATTTGATAGTTTGGGATACTGGGACCCACCGGGGACTCGCCCAAGGTAACATAGCAAGCCAGTGGGGCTCTAGTTCAGACTCTGTGGCCTGAAGCAGACTGCTTGTGTTCAAATTTCAAGATGGGCCACTGAAGCTAAACAAGGGGGTTGCCATGATTTTCCCCAGCTCTTGGTTTCCTTCTTGGATCCAAATTAAGACAGAGGATGGTATGCATTTCTGAAGCTTGGCAAGGCGGGAATCCAAGAACTGAATTCCTGAAGGGAAAAGGAAAGGGTGGGAGGTTAGCTTGCACGCCCATTGGGGTTTTCCCAGAGGTGAGCTCCGGACTCCAGGGATGACATCAGACATTCCAACCAGCCCTAATGTCGAAAGCTACCTGTGTTTTCTAGTTCAGCAGAATGGGTAGAGAGGGCCTTCCCTATTGGGAGGAGATGGGGTGGAGTGGGCCCAGCTGTGACGTGAAGGGGGCAGAGTCCAGGAAGAGCCACGCATTCCAGCACCTGCAAGGAAGACATCGGCCCTGGCTATTGTCACCCTTTTCCTAAGCCTTTCCTAAGCCTTTCCTCCCATTTCTCCCTAATCCCTCACCTCAGGGCTAACTGAGCAGAGAGATTCACTGCCCCTTTTCCACTTCCTGCTACTCCACCACCTGACTATTTTACTATCTCCCTTCCTTCATCTCCCTCTTCCTCCCTCCCTTCCTCCCTTCTTTCCTCTTTATTCTAAAATGGCATCTCAGCTGGACACAGCGGCTTATGCTTGTAATCCTAACACTTTGGGAGGCCAAGGTGGGAGGATTGCTTGAGCCCAGGGTTCAGGACCAGCCTGGACAACATAGGGATACCCTGTCTCTACAAAAAAATAAAATAAAATAAACTGAAAAATTAAAAAAGTCAAGTGTGGGCCAGGCATGGTGATTCATGCCTATAATCCCAGCACTTTGGGAGGCTGAGAGGGGCAAATCACTTAAGGTCAGGAGTCCAGACCAGCCTGGCCAACATGGTGAAATCCTGTCTCTACTAAAAATACAAAAATTAGCTGGGCATGGTGGCACATGCCTGTAATCCCAGCTACTCAGGAGGCTGAGGCATGAGAATCACTTGAACCCGGGAGGCGGAGGTTACAGTGAGCCAAGATCATGCCACTGCACCCCAGCCTGAGCGACAGAGCAAGAGTCCATTTCAAAAAAAGCCAGGTGTGGTGGCACATGCCTGTGGTCTCAGCTATTTGGGAGGCTGAGGCTTGGGCCTGGGAGTTTGAGGACGCAGTGAGCCATGACTGCACCACTGCACACCAGCATGGGTGACACAGTGAGACCCTGTTTCAAAGAACCAAACTAAACCAAACCAAAACTAAACTAAAAGGCATCTTGATGTTTGGAGTCAGTTGTCCTGAATTTGAATCTCAGCTCTGCTCCCTGTGAGCTCTCTGACCTAGAGAGTCACACCACCTCCCCCATAGCCTAGTTTCCTCCCCTATAAAAAGGGGATAATAGCTGTATTTTCTGATTGTGAGGATTAAACAAGATCATGTAAACACTTAAGAAACAGATGTTTTCTCAGAAACACTAGATCATGTGCATCATCAGTGAACTAGAGGAATTTGAATACATATTTGTTGAACTGAATTGAGGTGCCTTAAAGAATGGTTGAGCTGGAAAGCACCTAAGAGATCTTTGGGCCTTAGTAACTCCCAAACTGGTGTCCAAGTCAACTGTTCAGGGTATTTCCAAATGATAAGGACAATCGCATACTCTCAATAAAGTTTCAGGTTTCTTTACTTTTGTCTGGAATTGTATCAGCTCAAGGTGATAACATGGCTAACATAAGCCATTCAGAAATTCTGATTGGCAGTTACATGGCTCTTTGATAAGTTTTTTTTTTTCTTTTTTTGAGACGGAGTCTCACTCTTTCCCCCAGGCTGGAGTGCAGTGGCCGATCTTGGCTCACTGCAAGCTCTGCCTCCCAGGTTCACACCATTCTCCTGCCTCAGCCTCCGGAGTAGCTGGGACTACAGGCACCCGCCCCCACGCCCGACTAATTTTCTGCATTTTTAATAAAGACGGGGTTTCACCGTGTTAGCCAGGATGGTCTCAATCTCCTGACCTCGTGATCTGCCCACCTCAGCCTCCCAAAATGCTGGGATTACAGGCGTGAGCCACCACACCAGGCCTAAGTTTTTTTTAATAAGAAAATAATTACTGGAAGGTAGATTAAATGGTGGAAAACGTTAATCATGTCCAACTCCTCATTTCATAAACAGGGAAGCTGAGGTTTAAAGAAGGAAGTGGCTTCCTGGTCACACTGGGTGGCATAGCTGGCCCTAAAACCCAAATTCTTTTCCTGGAACCAGTTACTTCCCTTCTTTCCACTCCAGAGAGGGGGAACCTAGGATCAATGAAGTTGATGGGTTTTCTTCTGCTAGAGTAGGAATAAGTGAGTCATTGACTTGCTGTTGCTTTCTCTGTTCTTGACTCATTCAGCAAATATTTACTGACTGTCCACCATTTGGATTTGGAAGATAGATAAAATAGTCATGGCAGCAGAGAGGGTCAGGATTTACTCCTAGGTGCGACTTCAGAATCTGTGCTTTTTCCCATTTGGCACCCACATTTTAAAACACCCACTACTCTGCTTTCTAATGTAGTTCAACTGTGTCTCAGGGCAGGGACTGTCTTACATGTACACGTTCTAGCCTTCCTGCCACCCAGTGGGTGCGAAATCAATGTTGTAGTGTTTAGGAACACTTGAATTTAATTTAATTAATTAATTTATTTAGAGATGCAGTTTTGCTCTTGTTGCCCAGGCTGGAGTGCAATGGCACGATCTTGGTTCACCGCAACCTCTGCCTCCCGGGTTCAAGCAATTCTCCTGCCTCAGCCTCCCGAGTAGCCAGGATTACAGGCATGTGCCACCACGCCCGGCTAATTTTGTATTTTTAGTAGAGACTGTGTTTCTCCATGTTGGTCAGGCTGGTTTTGAACTCCCGATCTCAGGTAATCCGCCCACCTCAGCCTCCCAAAGTGCTGGGATTACAGGCGTGAGCCACCGCACCCGGCCAAAACTTGAATTTTAATCCTTACTTTGCTACTGTGTCGTTGAAACAGTATGTTGCTTTCCTTTTCTGGCCATTAGCTTAACTATCCGTATAGCGGGAACAGTGGCAAACTCCTAACTGGAGGAGCTTGCAGGTCCATTTCAAGCTATCAGACTCTAACTGGGAGAAAACACGGAGAATTTAGGCTGAAAATAGTGACACAGTTTATCACCTCGTTAATTCCCAAACATCATTACTGCGTCCTAATCCACCCCACCTCCCTCTCCCCTAGCCGCCTTCCTTTAAAAAGAAATTTCCCTCTAGAGGGCGCGCAAGCTCTGCGGCCTTCGTTCCTCACTTCCGTTTGCCTTCACTGTTCCTTCTGCGCATGTGCTCAGTTCGCTATCCGGCTGCTAGTACCTTGTTCAGGCAGTTCAGGCAAAGGTTGCACCCACTACGCCTGCGCAACCTCAGCCCCGCCCCTCCGCAGCTTTCCCCGGAAACGCTTCTTTCCTACGGAGTCGCTCCCGCCGCTGCGGTCGCTGGAGCTTTGCCTCTCTAGGCCGGCAGCGCCTCTCCTCCATGGTCATGTCTGTCAGCGCTGTTTTGGGAGCCCGCGGGTGAGGCCGGGCGACGCTCGAACACTTCGATCGTCGAGTCTGTCACTGGTGAGTAGACCCCAGAGGAGCTCGTGTACGGGCGGGGGCCGCGCAGCTGGAATGGGCTGGATTTCCCCTCACTCTGAGAATGGGTCTGTCCGCCCCGCCTTCCCCCTAACTCTTGGAATGGGCTCACCCCTTGGTTCCAGTCCCTCCTCCCGGGCGGGGCGGCGTTGCCATGGCGACGGGCCGCTGGCTGAGGCCCGGCTGGTGTCCCTGCAGGGCATGGCGGGTCAGTTCCGCAGCTACGTGTGGGACCCGCTGCTGATCCTGTCGCAGATCGTCCTCATGCAGACCGTGTATTATGGCTCGCTGGGCCTGTGGCTGGCGCTGGTGGACGGACTAGTGCGAAGCAGCCCCTCGCTGGACCAGATGTTCGACGCCGAGGTAGGGTCCCCGGCCTGGCGCGGGTGGGGTCTCGGCCTCCCCGACTAGGCTTTGTGATCCAGCACTACTGTGCTGTAGACCTGGCTGGGTCACCTTCTTGCTTTGTAGCCCTGGGAAAGGGATTTCACCTTTCTGAGCCTCAGTTGCCTCATCCATAAAATGGAATGACAGCAGAGGCTGATTAGTACAAAGGAAAGGGCCTGGATGTTAATACAATAAACACGTCTGTGTTCCAGGCAACTGTGATACATTTCCTTCCTGATACTCTAGGAAAGTGACTTAACTTCTCTGAGCTAGGTTCTCAGGTGCCACACCGGAGAGAGGAGTAGATAAAAGAGCATTCATGCGGGTACAGTGGAAACTGCCTGGACTTTGGGGTTAGGACAGGCCTCCGTTTAAGATCCACTTACTAGCTGTGTGACCTGGGGCAAATGTCACCTCTGTGAACTTGTTTTCCTGTCTTCAAAACCATAAGACTAGTTGCAAAGAGGTCGTGGACTGCAATATAAAGAGCATGTGCGTTGGATTCAGAAAAGCAAGTGTTCAATCTAGGCCTAACCATATAATATTAGCTGTGGGACCTTGGGCAAGTTGCTTCCCCTTCTGAGCCTTTTCTGAAAAGTGGGCAGAATACGCCTGTCATGTCACCCTCAACAAAATGTTACAAGGCACAGAGGGGCTTAGGAATGAGAAAGTACTTCGTAAAGTGTAAAGGAGGCCTGTAAGTTGTTACAGCTAAGAGGCAGCTGTGGCGTGTGGTGGTGAGCACAGTTCTTAAAGCCAGGAGACCTGGGGTGGAGTCCTTGCTCCTGCTGCTTGTTCTCTGTGTAGCCTGTGGGCAAGTTATTGTCCAAAAAGTGATAAGAATCAAAAGAAGAATGACTTTGTGAGGATTTTTTAGGGATAATACAAGATTGTGTATGTCAAAGACCTTTCTTTGTCAGCTGAAAGTGTGTTGCAGATGTTTGGCATTTGATAGTATTGTGTTAGATAGTGGAGGTTGCACACCCACCATGTGCCTAGTTGTAGTCTCGTAGGAGCCTCTGTCCTCCTGGGAAGAGCTGTGGGAATGCTGGGCTTTGTTGAAGAGCCATCTGATGCACACCACCTGGGTTCTAGACTAGGGATCAGCAAACCTTTCCTTTAAGGGTGAAGTAGTAAGGATTTTAGGTCACAATTACTCAGCTCTGCCATTGTAGCACAGAAGCTGCTATAGACAAATATGTAAGTGAATAGGTATGGCTGTGTTTCAATAAAACTTTATGTACGGGAGTAGATGCCTGGCCTATGGAGCCATAGTCAGCTGAACGCTGTTCTAGACTTTACTCTTGGTGTTTATTACTTTGGGCAACTTAACTTGTCTGAGCTTTTACGTCCTCCTTTGTAAAATGAAAATAATCCCTTTCCACCTGCTGTGAGAAACAAATGAAATCCCATAATGGATGTCTATGAAAGCACCTAGTTGGAAATAGGCTGCCGTACAAATGAAGGGAGGTATTATCTTCTGTGCTCCGGGAAGAATGCTTGTTCCTTAGGAGGCTTGCTGAGATCCTGGGGCTCTGCCAAGTCACTTCTCCAGCATATTTCCATTTGTGATTCCCCCTCAGATCCTGGGCTTTTCCACCCCTCCAGGCCGGCTCTCCATGATGTCCTTCATCCTCAACGCCCTCACCTGGTGAGTATCACCAGTTTGGCTATCCAGCTTTTGGGCTCTTAGCGCTGGGACTAACTTCCTAAGTTTGAGCATGAGACAGGTTGGCACTTGTTTCTGGGGAGTGGTGGAGTAAGGTGGGTGACAGAGGCCAGTTCTGGGACCGGCTGTATCATGGGCTTCCTTCCATTGCTATTTTGACTTACCTGGAAAGCTCTTATGTCACTATGTTTGTGCTGCCTGCAAGACAACTTCCATCTCAGATAACTTCCCTGATGTGGAGTGAACTGAGGAAAGGATTCGACCGAGAGGCAGGAGAGCTGAGTTCTGTTCTTGGTTTGTGTGCCATTGGCCAAGTTACCTGCCATGGGCTTCAGGCTCCTCTTTTGTCCATGAGGGGTTGGACTCGGTGACGTCTAAGGTCACACATAATCATTGCCTGTCTCTTAAGAGGCAGTTTAGCATAGTGATCAAGGTCTCAGGCTCTGTAGGCAGACTTATTTGGCTTTGAACCTCAACTTTACCACTAGTCTAGTAACTTTGGACAAGTTAATCAACCACAGTTGCCTCATTAGTAAAATGGGGCTAATAATATTACCTACCTCATAGTTGTAAGGATTAAATAAGTTAATTCACAAGAAGGACTTAGAACAATGCCTTGCACGTTATTATTATTCTTGTCCTTACACTGGAGATTGAAAACTGGTGGGCTGACTTTGACCTAAATTTGTCTTCCAGATAGGTTCTATTTGGCTTACATAGATGTCAGCCCACACATGGTGTTTAAAACATTTTTTTCACTTAGTTGAAAATCAGGCTATTTTATATAAAAATCCAGATTTCTGGCTTCTCTTGAATAATGGAATGACTGATTGATTCCAGGCCAACCTTCTAGCATGATAAGATTTGCCTAGATGCAAGTAACTACTGCCCCCACTTTAGCTAGAACATGTGTGCTTCAGGGTGTCATAATCCCCACCAATTCCTAGTATCCCCTAGTGACAATTGCCATCAATCATCAAGCTCATACTCAGTCAGCTTCACTCTTGACATTACCCGCCAGGTTCTTCCAGGCATCTAATATCATAACCCTTGCTTCACACTTACCTTGTCACTTCTGACCACTATGCTGCCATCCTAATTGTCCCTACCCTCCCAAATAACCTAAGACCAGGACAACCCAGTGACAACTCACTGCTGTCCTCTCCCCACAGTGCCCTGGGCTTGCTGTACTTCATCCGGCGAGGAAAGCAGTGTCTGGATTTCACTGTCACTGTCCATTTCTTTCACCTCCTGGGCTGCTGGTTCTACAGCTCCCGTTTCCCCTCGGCGCTGACCTGGTGGCTGGTCCAAGCCGTGTGCATTGCACTCATGGCTGTCATCGGGGAGTACCTGTGCATGCGGACGGAGCTCAAGGAGATACCCCTCAACTCAGCCCCTAAATCCAATGTCTAGAATCGGGCCCTTTGGACATCCTGCTGACACTTGGGCCCCTTAACACCTTGGGCTGCCCAGACCCTAACGATGAGGTCCAGCCCAGATCTGAGAGGAACCCTGGAAATGTGAAGTGTCTGTTGGTGTGGGAGAGATAGTGAGGGCCTGTCAAAGAAGGCAGGTAGCAGTCAGCATGACAGCTGCAAGAATGGCCTCTGTCTGCTGAAGCCTTGGTATCTGAGAGGTCAGGAAGGGGACCTCTTTGAGGGTAATAACAGAATTGGAACCATGCCACTTTTGAGCCACAATACCTGTCACCAGCCTGTTGTTTTAAGAGAGAAAAAATATCAAGGATATCTGATTGGAGCAAACCACTTCTTTAGTCATCTGTCTTACCTCCCTGGGACAGCTGTTACCTTTGCATTGTTGCCAAATCACAGCAGTTATGTTGGAGAAACGCTTGGTTTCTGGATCCAGAGCCACAGAAAGAAATGTAGGTGTCAAATATTAGGCTGTTGTCAGGGAGAGGATGGCAGATGGATGCATCAAGCACAAGGAAAATGCACAACCTGTGCCCTGTTACACGCACATTCGTGTGCACCCAAGAACCTATGACTTTCTTCCAGTTCCTTCTGCCAGGTCCCCATCCTGCTGCCAGCTCTCAACATAGCAGGCCATAGGACCCAGAGAAGAATCCCAGCATTGCTCAAAGTCTAACCGTCATAAAGACACTGCCTGTCTTCTAGGAATGACGAGACACCCAACTCCCACTGGACTCCAGTTCTTTTTCCTGCCTTATTTAGAATTCTGTGGCGGGAAGGGTATGATGGGTTCCCAGAGACAAGAAGCCCAACCTTCTGGCCTGGGCTGTGCTGATAGTGCTGAGGGAGATAGGAATTTGCTGCTAAGATTTTTCTGTGGGGTGGAGTTTCCTCTGTGAGGGGCTTGCTGCTGTCCTTCCTGTGTATATAAATACAGTATTTTCCACGGTTCTGCCTGTACTTACTTTGTAATGCCATGGTTGAGATTGAGAGAGATCAGCGCAGCCAGGCAAGGGAACTTTAAAGAATTATCAGGCCACCTTCTCCCTTTCCTGGACCCCAGAGTCATTCCTCCATTTGGTTAAAATACTCAGTGCAGGGAACTCTTACATCCTGTCTCCTTCACTTGCAATGTCCCATGCTATGCCTCAGGTGAACCACGTGATTCTTGAGTTTCATTTCCTACTTGCTAGTGATTTCTGAACATGTTCAATGGAGTGGCACAAAGTCTAGACCCACTTCTGCATTGAAACCTTCACTGTTCCTCTTTGGTTTCTTGGGAGTTTTCCCAAGAGAGCTGTCAGTTTTCAGCTGTCAGTGTTATGGTAAGACAAATGAGTTTTGCTATCTCCCTGAGAAGCCCATCCGACCTCCTGGCTGTCAGCCCTACAGAGTAGGGAGTTGATACTGACAGGATGAAAGTTTAGGAGTAAATATGCCTGGGAAGAGACTGGGAAGGTTCTAGGGTGAGACACCTCAGTAACTCATGGTGCCTTGGCCAAGTTGGAAGGAAGCAGTTTGTTAATGGGGCGCGGTAATCCTGGCTGCAGGGTCTAGAAGGTAAGACCAGCTGGGATGACCTTCCCTGGGTTGATCAGTTTCCCTCTAAGCAACACAAACTGTACAGGCATGTGACTGACTTTGAAAGAACACCCATCATGTGGCTGCTGTCACCCTTGACCAGCTGTGGTGGTGGTTACTCCATCTGTGGTTGGAGCACCTCTTTGGGATTCACTTCAAGGTCTTGTGCCACTTTTTCTGCATATCTTCTGTGATGACAAATCTCTGTCCCCTTGAGTGTTAATTTGATTTTTAGAAATGGCCAAAAGTCACGTGATCCAAACCTTTTTTCAGTTCTGTGGAGACTGAGCTGCATGATAGTTGGGGATCAAAAATATGTGACCTTAATGAGATTTTTGTGATTTCTAAAGTAACAATAAAAGCAGTTTTTAGAGTTGAGTTCCAGAGAGGGCAGGGCAATGGCAGTGACATGTTTGTCATTTTAATAATAAATAACATTTATTGAGTACTTAAGAGGTGTCCAGCAGCGTGGGGTGAGTGCTTTATGTCTCTTTTCAACATCTTCACAAGAACCCTCTGAAGTAAGAAGTAACGTCATCTGTATCTTACAGATGAGGGAACTGTAAGGAACTTACTCAAGGTGACTTTTTAGGAGCTGGCAGAGCCAGGATTTGGGCTTTGATAGTGATATTAATAAGCTCATTTTGAAGAGGTCAATAGTTAGGGATGTATAAGTTCTGACTGGTTAAACAGTCTGGTTAAATAGTCTATCACCTTATCATATCATGTTATCCTGTCATATTTTTTTTTAAATACCAAGGATGAATAGTACCTTATAAACATTATTAGCTTTCTAAGAAAAGCTGATATGCAGTACATTAAATATAGCCAGACATTTCCTTTTTTTTTTTTTTTTTTTTTTTTGAGGCAGGGTCTCACTCTGTCACCCAGGCTGGAGTGCAGTGGTGTGATCTTGGCTCACTGTAGCCTCAACCTCCCAGGTTCGAGTGATTTTCCTGCCTCAGCCTCCCAAGTAGCTGGGACTACAGGCACATGCCACCATGCCTGGCTAATTTTCGTATTTTTGTATTTATTTATTTATTTATTATTTTTATTTTTTTAGAGACAGGGCTTTGTCACTTTGCCCAGGCTAGTCTTGAACTCCTGGGCTCAAGAGATCCACCTGCCTTGGCCTCCCAAAGTGCTGGGACCTGCCTTGGCCTCCCAAAGTGCTGGGATTTTACAGGTGTGAGCCACCAAGCCCAGCTGGCCTTTTTTTTTTTTTTTTTTTTTGAGGCAGAGTTTCACTCTGCCTTCATTACTCAGGCTGGAGTGCAGTGGCCTGATCTCAGCTCACTGCAACCTCTGCCTCCCGGGTTCAAGCGATTCTCGTACGTCAGCCTCCCAAGTAGCTGGAATTACAGGTGTGCACCACTGTGCTTGGCTAATTTTTTAATTTTTCATAGAGACAGGGTTTCATTGTGTTGGCCAGGCTGGTCTCAAACTCTTGGCCTCTCAAGTGATCACCCACCTCAGCCTCCCAAAGTGCTGGGATTACAGGCCTGAGCCACTGTGCCCAGCGTTGGCCAGAGATTTTCAAGTGATCTTAGGAATGTGGGAAATCTATTTCCAAAGGATAAAGGATGGTACCTAGATAAGAGAGTACTAGCCCACTACTGAATTGGCATATCTCTTAACTCTCCAGGTGTCTGAAGTTGACCTCCCTTTTTCCCACCCACCACGTGAACTCGGGCCATTCAGAGAGAAAACTGGAGACTCCTACATAGCTGATGCTTAGAATAGTTTATAACCCTTAAAGGAGAACAGGAAAGGAAAAAGGGATGTCTGGCTCAGAGGGTACTTCTAACCCCTCGCTCTAGGCAGCCCTGACCATATCAGTGCCAAATGAGAGCCAGGATGGCAGCCAGCAGACATCAGAGGGTACAATCTGAAGCTCCAGGACTCCCAACATCCTGGAGGGTACACAGCTCAAACAGGCTCCCCTGGACAGGAATCCCCCTGGACTCCTTCTTCCGTGACTCCCAGGTCAGAGTAGCTTCCTTCTGCCAGCCCCAGAAGGCAGTCAGTGCACAGGTGAGGAACACCTTGTACTGGCAGCCCGGGGACCACGGAATCTCAGAAGCAGGGCCCTGGGGACCTAGGGCAGGAGGAATAGGGATAGAATCAGCGTACAAGAGAACTCTTCTGTGGAGAGATTAAAAACCACCGTCTTAAGGTTTTCTGTTGGAAAGTAGTAAAGGGTGGTAGAAATAGCATTGAGGCAGGAGGGAGTAGAGGGAGCCGAGGGTTTTAATCTTTGCCCTGCCACTACCTGGGCAAGTCACAGTCATAGGGGTCCAATTCTGAAAGGCTTTAGAGAGCTGCAGTGGAGTACAAAGTCCTGGAGTCCCATTACTACCTGTGAGATCTTGGGTAAGCTATGTTATCTCCTTTACCTAGATTTCCTCATATGTAAAATGAGCGTAATAATGGTACTTATTTCCCTGGGTTTTGTTTTGCCTTGTTTTCTGGTAGGTCAACACTTAATTCTATAAAATGAAAAAAGTGCTCCCTCCCTGGTTTTATCGTGAAGATGCAATGAGATGTCATGTGTAAAGCGCTTAGCCCAGCACCTGACATGTAGGAAGTGATCCATAACTCTAGGCAATTATTAGGCTACCGCCCCCCTATCCATTTTACAGAAGAGGAGACATTTTTCTTCTGAGCCTGTGTTTTCAAATGTTGGGGGATAGGCTTGCCAGTCCTCTCGGTACCACTACCAAGTATTGAGCTCCTATCTGGCATGTACTGCAAAGTGATTTATGTGTATTCTTACTCAGTCCAATAAGGTAAGCACCACTCTTTCCCCCATTTTGCAGACAAACTGAGGATTGGGAGTAAACAACTTTTTCCCCATTACGAAGTTGATAAGAAGCTAGGCCTGTCTGCCTCATCCTCTTTTCACATTCCAGTTATGTTTATGTGTGATCCAGACAATTGTGAGACAGACAGACTTAGGGATCTAGATGCCGTATGCCGTATTAGCAAAAGGTTGTGAATGTAAACATACATTTGGCTTGTTAACAAGTAGATGGCTCCCTAAAGGTGGGTAGTTAGGTAGCTGCTGATGAGAAATGGAGCCAGGACTGACTGGCCACAGGGCTTTATGATGATGACCCTGGTATGGCATGGGAAAAGGCCAAACATGTGCTCAGTGCCCCACAAACTGGCTTCTCCTACATCAAGCTTGATTTGCTTAAAACCCCCTGAAACAGACATTAGTATCACTATTTTATAAACATGAAATAGGCTCAGAGAGGTCAGGTGACTTCTAAAAAGTCACTCAATATAAAATCAGATTCACACTCTTCAATTTTTTCCCAGTTAACTGTTAAGCAGCCATTTCTGGGGTGGCTTCCTCCCCAAATCAGTGTTACTGGGCCCAGAGGAGGAGCTTTAGGTTGAAATGGTTAAACAAAGGGAGGTTGGTAGTGGGGAGACCCCGGTTGTGGAATTGTGGGAGGCAGGTGGCCAGAGGCCTAAGTGCCTGGGCAGGTGGGATGAGGTGGAAGGAGCCTACTGCTGGGATTCCTTCACTCCCAGGCCTGCCCCTTGCTGCCCTGGCCATGCTGGGTCCCCGCCTTCACACACAGCCCTCCCCTATACTCGGTGGCGTTCCCAGTGGGCAACTGGGGCCCAACTCCAGCTCTCTGGAGCGAAGTGAAGTTGCCAGTCTCACTCAGGCCCACCCCAATCCAGCCTCCACTTGGGGCTCCCTGGGCAGGCCCCCATGAAGGCTAGTGCAAGGGGGC